TATGGAACTCCGACATGAAAAGATTAGACACTAAAAGTATAGTTGGTCAGACGAGGTAGTTAATTGAGCAAGCGGAAATTGAATGGCTAGGGTAACGGTGGAGGAAATATGTCATTAAGGGCTCCTACCCCTGGTATCAGCAAAATAATTACGAGATATGAAGATTAAAAGAGATTAAAAGATGGAAACAAGAATATGCGTCAAGGGGTCGGAAGCACCAGTAACTAGGGCCAGACCAGTTCATCATCGCAGCATCGCGTCATCTAACCAGATTGCCGTCCCTTCATGGGACACGCATTTCTAGTCAAGGAGAAAGAGTTAACTGAGAGAGACGCGCTTTTCATCCTTCTTATCAATGGACTGTTGCTCCTCTAAAGGCACAGCTACCCCCACTTCTTGAGCGGTCTCGTCCGAGAAGCGCAGATCAGCCTCCATGTCCGCGTGCTCCTTGATCTTGAGGAATACTACAGGGGAAGCAATCACAATACTGCCAGCAAGGAGGCCCCAGCAGGTAGCGAATTCCGTCATGAAGGGAGTATTCTCCGCATCCAACCTGTGGATCAAGCCAGTTAGTGACTGATATGAGTAAGGGAATGCATGAGGATGGAGACCTACCGCCACATGCCTGCTGCACCAGCGGACTGGATGCCCTTGTAGAATCCAGCAAAGTTGGCCAGCTTGCGGCCGTTGTTCGTCAGAGAACCCATGAACCTACAATTCACCTAGTTAGTCCAGTTCTTGCCATCCCGAATTCAATTGACGTCCCAAGATTAAGTGACGAAGGGCGGGAGGTTTTTGGAGCAAGGGGCCAAACTGACCAGTATGCGCAAGTCTGGAAAGCCGCATCATAGAACCCGTAGAACATGTACAGAAACATTGGACCCACAAAGCCGTGACTGGTCCAGTCGGTATCCGCTTTGACTGTTTCGCGAGTGTAGGTCTTCTGAAACGCATAACCTCCACCCCAGACACCCATGGTGAGAACCAGCAAAAGGAAAAGATTCAGCCTGGCTCGGGTGGGCCGAGAGAGAAACTTCAAGTCCAGTAATTGCCCGAAGACGAACGCTCCGAGCATCTGCATCAGCCAGTACAGCAGATTGTTGAGGGCTCGTGTACGGATGGTAAAGTATGCACCATTGACACTGTTGAACTGGTACGCCGTAAACCAGTTACTTGTCAAAAACATCGGGAAGAGGAGGAGAATATAGTAGTCGGTGCGAAGAGTATCATAGAGACCCATAAACTCGGATTTCCAGGTAGGGTTCTTCATGACTATAACATGCGAGCCATCTTTGCGCTTGACATACTTTGAATCCGCTAGGCCCCAGGCCAGGACGAAACCCAAGGCCATGAGTACCATGAATGCAATGTAAGTCCCATCGTTTACTTGACCAGCCACTGAGTGCAGGTTTTGACCCAAAGGCACCTACAATGCAGAAGCGTCAGTTATGGATGGGAAGTAAAGGTCAAGGATACATACCAAGCTGCCGATGACGCCGCCAAGATTAAAGATCACCCAGAAAATGGCGATGAATTTACCCTTCTCCTTTTCGTTCGGATAACTCATCATGACGGCACCCTGGGCGCACCACAGTAGCCCAGCGCAGGCGCCTAAAAGTGCACCAGCGAAGATCAGAAAGCCAGAGTTTTGGTTATGGTTGTAGGACAGTAGCGATGCGACATAGAGAAAATAACCAAAACCACCAATTGAGAGCGTCAAACGCAAACCAATGCGGTTCGCAACGGAGCCCGCGAAAAACCCAACAACCCCAAAGGTACTGTAAAGGGCGGTGTTGGCGTTGTTCACGTCCTTGAAACCTAGCTGGCCTCCACCTCCGAGGCCACTAACGGCATTGAACATTCCCGGGCAGAGAAAGCAGACAAAGGAGACCAGGAGAAGCTGCGCATCAGGCGAGGCAAAGTACGGCAGAGTCCATGGGCCAATCTTAAAAGATTTATACATCCAGGACTTGCCAGTGAGCGGGTGGACTTGGCCGGCCTCAGGGTCGATTGTGACAGCCTGCACCTCCTTTTCGGGCTGCTGGCTCTCCGGGCCAGTTGTTGAGGTAGCCATTGTTGTCTAATCCCCAAGGTCGAACAGCAAGATGCGTTTGAGACGATTTGAGGAGTGACTGGGGACTTTTCTGCCACTCGCTAAGTAAGAGCAAAGACACGATCAGCCGTCCAATCTTGCACGGTACAGTAGAACCAAAATTGGTAAAGTAAAGTGGAATAGCGACAAGTGATGTATGTGTCTAGATCTTAAGGATAATTGCGGGACTGAGATATGTGCCGGAGCAAGAAAATAGAATCCGCAGAAGACAACGGGGAAGGGATGGCGTAGTCGAAAAACTGGATGGGAAGACACACGAGGAGGAGGAGGAGGAGGAGGAGGAGGAGGAGGAGGAGGAGAGAACTATCCGACGAACGAAGTAAAGATACCAGACCACTGAAGTCAAGAAAGAGAGAGGTAGGCGGGAATTCAGTAACATAGAAATATGTAGGTTTCCGGGGACACACACACACAAGGCTAGCGACGGAAATAATTTTCAAACCAAGGCGTGACAAGGGATGAGATTGTTTCGGGGACGATCCGGGGTAAGCATGTAGGGGGCGGACACGAAAACAAATAGTCTCGGAAGGGAGAAAGGATTCGGATTGTGGTGTGATGGAACGTACTGTTATCGAATTGCCAGTAAGGATAGTAACAGAGAGGCGAAGTGGAGAGAGTGTGGGAAGGGAATCAGGAAATAAATATCTTGTTGAGTTGACGAAGATGAAGAGAAGGAGGCGGAGAAGAAAGAAGAAGAGGAGGAGGAGGAGGGGGCGGGAAGCAAGAGGCGAGAGGCGAGAGGTCAGGGAACTGTTGCTGATTATTGTTGTGGTTGTGGTTGTGGTTGATGTTGATGTTGATGCTGATGTTGATTGAGTTTGGTAAATGAAGGTGGTGGATACCACCCTAGGATAAGCGGAGAGGGAAAAAAAATACCAAGACTGAGATGCGACAACAAGATAACCTTTGAGCAAATGAATGGAGGATAACGAGACAGGGTAGATAATGAGTAACTACTCCACAGGTACTGTACCTAGACTAGTGGACTAGTAGTACTCAGTACCTTATCATCGGTACCTGTTTAGTTGTCTCTTCAGCCACGAATCAGAAGCGGCAGGGTTGCGAGTCGATCGCCGTCCACATGGGATGATCCACCCGACCGCAGACAGGCAGGTTGATAGACGAGGTGAGAAAGAGGTAATTACTATATGTAACTAGGAGGTGGGGGAGGGGGAAGGCCTGGGGAAGAAGAGTTGGCGCCTTGGAGGAAAGAAAAAAGAGTACATACAAGCAAATACAAACATTAGATAGTGATACGCGGCAGGATTTAAATAGTAAAAGTTACCTACCTGCTTACCTTACTTACCGGGCTAAGAACAGTGAATACTCAATCAAGTACATCAAAGATTGTCAATGATTCAACGATGATTCCAAGCAGACCTACGGACGGTAACGAGCTCCAGAACCACCAACTTGACTTGATGGTTGGTCCGGGGCGAGCGGGTTTATCTCCGCATGCACACAGTGCAGAGGTACTCAGTTAGGTCTGCGAGTGGTTTGTCGAGGAAAGGTACATGATCCGGATCCTGTGACTGATTACTTGATAAGTCAATGTCTGAATGAATGAATGATGGTGAGGGAACAGATAAACAACCCACCGTTGAATTTGCGACGGTGACATCGGGCAGCTGAAGCTTAGCCGAATGCGGGGGGCCCAGTCGGGTCCGCGGCTGCCACCGTTGCATTCTACCTTATCATCTGCGGAGCTTCAGGCCAGTTTCAGCGGCTCCTGGGGTAAGTCAGGTGTGTTGTCGTGTCTAGAAAGGTGGCCCTGTATTTATGTGCTTGGGGGCCAGGTGATTGAATGTGTGAATGTAGAATACTATACTAAACATATAGTAAGGGCAATAATAATATGCCGGCCCTAGTCGTCAGGCGACCGATAGAAGGTGCTCGATCTTACTCCGACAGTAAGTCGACTACTACTAGGTACGTTAGTCTTACTCTAAGTTGGTTTTTGTTGGAGGTTTCGTGACGATAACTAGTTACTTCGGCTAAGTCTGGACTCAGTACGGAGTGCGGAGTACTGTAACTTACGTAGATTGTAGGGTAGCTAGTGTACTCAAATAGTAACTAGCTAGTTTATTCCTAGCTTGTTCCGGTTGCAGAATATTAGTCATAGTAATTGTATGTAATATGAGTTACCGTACATGTTTTTGATACACCCAGGTATCGGAGACAGTACGTAATTGTAGTACTGACCTCCAGAGCCGTACTAGACATACTCGCCAGTGCCGCGGGCACAAGTCTCGAACGTTGACGGATGCTGACTTATGCCATCTAAGTTAGCTGGCAGTTTTCTGTCCGGCCAAAACTTATTAGCTGCAGAATGATCTCACACCCCAATCAAGGTATGTTGTTAAGGATGCTTGATGATGTCGTGGGAATGCCAACTTCATGCCTTTCCGGTTGCTTGACGAGGCACCTTGTTTCAATGACAACACACCCATACCAAGCATTGTCCATGACCTCAACAAAAAGTAGCCCTCATCGTCGGTATCGACAACATATTTATGACTCGTTGAAATCTATGTCTTTGGTTCTAAAGTCGGCGCGATGACTCGTCGATCTAATATACAGACAGGTGTTGGTACAATAAGTTGCGGCGCAGTCCTTTGATCCTGGAATCTAGAAAATCCTTCTCAGTTCCTTGCACGCATCCTCTCCGTGATTCATCATTCGTCAATCATAGATCAAGCAACTGGTAATGCCCAACGTATATAGCCGGCCTATCGCTAGTCTCGAGACCAGGAGCAAAAGAAGTTCACGCGTTGGGACCACGCATGATGCACTATCTCCAATGCCGATATCCTTCATTTGTGTTTGTGCCATTTCGTAGCAAGAATAGGATAAAGACGAGTGGGGAGCCCCCAATAGGAGTAGGCGTTCACAGACGAGGCTGCTCGCGTTTCCAGCCGGCCTCTTCCGCGATCAGTTCAGCCGCACGCTCACCGATGGCCAGCACGGTCAACATGGGGTTGATGGTAGGCATCTCTGGGAAGACACCCGCGTCCGCGATACGTACATTCTTGAGGCCCCGCACCTTCAATTGAGGGTTAACGACGGCCATAGGGTCACGGGCCAAGTTACCCATTTTGGTGGTTCCAGCCGGGTGGTACACAGTGTGCGCTACGCGACGGCCGTACTCTGAGAGTTCTTCGTCCGTCTGGACCTTGGGACCAGGAGCCACTTCGCGTTTAATCCACTCCTTGAAGGGCGACTGCTGAGCGATCTCGCGGGCCGCCTTGAAGCCAGCGACAATAGTGGCAGCATCGTAGCCCTCCGGGTCGGTGAAGTACCGGAAATCCAGGGCGGGCTTGACGCTGGGATCAGCAGAGGTCAAAAAGAGACGACCACGGGAGCGGGGGCGAGGGATGTTAGGGGTCATGCAGAACGCATCTACCGGTGTGTCATAGCCCAAACGAGTGGTGTTCAAGCAGAAAGGGATCTGATAGCAGTGCATCATGATATCGGCGGCGCGGCCATCAAAACCATGTGCATTGGGAAGCTCGCGACGTAGGAAAATCCCGGCATCAGAGTCCATGGTAGTCTGGTTGGGAGGCACAGGACGGTTGAGCTCCCAGATGATTATACTCTCGGGGTGATCCAGGAGATTCTCGCCGACACCAGGGATGTCCTTGACAACCTGGATGCCAAGAGAGCTCAGCTGCTCACGCGGACCCAGACCAGAGAGCAACATCAAGCGAGCAGTATCAACAGCCCCTGCGCAGAGAATCGTCTCCTTCTTAGCCCGCAGGGTGTGTTTAGTGCCAGACTGCAGCGTGACATCAACACCAGTGACAGTGTCACCCTCGACGTTGACACGTGACACCCAAGCATTAGTCAAGATGGTCAGATTCGGACGCTTCTCTTCACCACGGAGAATGGGGTGGATATAAGCGACACTGGCGCTGCTACGGCGGCCGTCGTCAGGGTTGTAAGAGACGGAGAAGAAGCCAACGCCCTCAGTCAATTCACCCTTGGAGCGAATTTCCTTGTTGAAATCGGAGATGATGGGGATGTTCATTGCGCTGGAGCAAGCCTGAACCCAGTCCTTGCACAGTTGATTACGGTGACGGCTGTGAACAGGCTGAACGGTGTTGCGCAAATTGTCAAGGACGCGGGTGAAGGTCTCGAAGGACCAGCCTGTGCAGCCGGCCTGTTCCCATCTCTTGCAATCGTATTCGAAAGGACGGAAAGAGATCAAGGTGTTGTGGCTGGAGCAACCACCCAGCACCTTAGCACGAGAGTGACGGATATGACTGTTGCCTGTATGAATCTTCAATGAGTATTGGGCCTAGATCTCTTTCTTTACTGGACCGGGGCCGGTCAATTTCTACATACCCATTGGTTGTTCAGTTGTACCGTAGTCATAGTCCAACTCGCCTCCCAACAGACTCAACCACTCACGCAGGTTGAGCACGCGGTCATCCATGAAATCACTGGGACCGCCCTCAATCACCAGGATGCGCTTGTTGGGCAAGTACTCGGCTAGACGGCTAGCAATGACACAGCCTGCTGTGCCACCTCCCACGATGATGTAGTCATAACTGTTGACATCGCCGGCGGGAAAGTCATTGGTGGTTGCCATGCTGAGCAAAATGAAATCAAATCCAATCCCAAAGCAGGAGATTAGGGTCGTGAGAAAGTACCAGGGATAACAAAAATGATGGCAGGGAGGAGACGGGGAGGGCGGGAAGGGGAAAAAGAGAGAGGACGGTGGGGAGGAGGGGGAGCAAATGTCTTTAAATTGAGTATTGGAGAGGGAGACGCGGCGAGTCTGTAGAGACCCCAAAACTATCATGCCATGTTTTCTACTCCCAGAACTTGCCAACAATTCCCTTCATTTCCACTCCATGTTCTCCCGCACACCTTTTTTCCCTCATCTTCTTTCTTCCTTTTTTTCCTTTCCCCTCCTTCCTTTGTTCTTTTTTTCCATAAATTTCTTGGACTGGGAGAAAATCTCCACCCCAGGATAAGGCACCGAGTCCGGATCATCCAATGATGATAGTCGTGTGGCGGAAAGTACGCCGCAGTGGGGCACTAGCTCAGCCTCGGCGGTGTGCCCATTGGAAAGTAGTCTGCTGTGCAGAGACGGTAGTTGTTTGAAAACAATACTAACTTATGTGCACCCCACACAGATTTTCACTGGCCAAGGAACTCCCTTTCTATTCTTACTAATCGACAAGTCTGAGTCGGCATCCCTCTCTCCCTCCGACTCGGGCATCTTACTGTCTTTGCATGGGTAGTAGTACTATATAGTGTAGACTGATAAGCTTCGGCTCCGACATCCCTCCCGTTCTCTATACATAGTATACCGCGCAGGACGGTCCATTAATGCATAAGTGCTTACCTATAGAATCCATTGGTCCTCAATTCCTCGTTGACCTTCCGCGGTCCGCCCATCTCCTACGACGTCAGTACTCCACATGAGACCCGACACTAGGCCGCGCCACGATCCCGCGAACGGGGCACTAGTCAATGGTAAACTCCATCGGAGATGTAGGGCCGAAGGCATTCCGGGATCGCATTGCCTGCTTAGGCCTTAGGGTTGGGTTACAGGCGGCAGCATAGGTATACCGGATTGAGCAAGAGAATAACATACCGGCATGCAAGTTGAGATGGATGCTACATAGTACAAGGAGCTTATCTTCTTCTCTTTCTGTTCACCTCATCATGGCTTGTAACCAGCTGTTCGATAAGGTTTTCTATCGCGTTCGCATGGGCTCCGTCCTCCGTAGCTGAAACGGCCGTTCCACACCAACTTACACTGCCGCCGGAGGATCGCTGCCGCTCGTATTATGTAAGCCTAGAAGCGCGGGTTGGCGGTGAAGCCTGCATATGCCAGTGGTGATCCTATTCGGGCTTAGTTCCACCGCCACTTGCGTCTGATCTTGCTCCGGGCTAGTTACCTAGAACTAATGATCCTCGGAGCAATCTTGCAACTTCATTCATGTACATTTACTTTTTACTTTTTCCGTACAACCCCAGATAGGATTTGTGGTCCTTTCTCTTCGGAAACAGTGCCGTACAATCAGACGGGCATCCTTATCTTCTTTCTCCTTCCCCTCCTCCACAGGCCTCCTCCTTTGCTTACACACCATTCTCCCTCTTCGCATCAATAGAGCAATAGGGCTCAAATTCTCTATCAGAGCCATGTCTTCCCTCGCTTTTTCTACTCGCGAATTATATTATGACGGCAAGACCCAGCCTGCCTCTTCAGGCAAAACCTTCCAATCTATCAATCCCTCAAACGCCAGTCCTTTGGCTGAGATCCAGGTTGCTTCACATTCCGATGTAGATGCAGCCATCGCTGCCGCCGACCGGGCCTTCCCCTCATGGTCTCAAACACCACCCGTTGCACGTGCCCGCATTCTCCAGAAAGCCGCCGCCCTGCTCCGCGAGCGCAACGACGATATCGCTCGTGTCGAAACTCTTGACTCGGGCAAGGCATATACCGAGACAAGCACTGTCGACGTTGTCACCGGAGCCGACGTACTCGAGTACTATGCGAATCTGGTTGGAGGTGGCGGGCTGAATGGAGAGACCACACAGTTGAGAGAAGATGCTTGGGTGTACACCAAAAAGTCTCCGTTGGGTGTTTGCGTGGGCATTGGAGCTTGGAACTACCCTATTCAAATGTTAGTCAGCCTTCCTCCTCGGCCCCTCAAGTTCATCCCCTCCTCTGCAATGTGGAAGATGCTTAATGGATGACAAGGATGGCTAAGAATCTATGTGCAGTGCGCTATGGAAATCCGCTCCCTGCCTGGCTGCGGGCAATACTATGGTTTACAAGCCAAGCGAATTCACGCCACTGCATGCACAAACCTTGGCCGAAATCTACACGGAAGCCGGTCTACCCGCCGGCGTATTCAATGTTGTCTACGGTGCCGGCGACGTTGGGGCGTACTTAACTGCTCATCCTACTATTGCGAAAGTTTCCTTCACAGGCCAAGTATCCACGGGCATGAAAGTGGCTGGATCCGCCGCTGGCAATATGAAATATGTCACCATGGAATTGGGCGGCAAGAGCCCCCTCATCATCTTGCCGGACGCGGAGCTCGAGAATGCCGTAGACGGGGCCATGATGGCAAACTTCTATAGTACCGGTCAGGTATGTACTAATGGTACTCGGGTGTTCGTCCCCGCTAGCATGAAGACCACGTTTGAGAGGCGCCTTCTGGAAAAGATGCAGTACATCCGTCCTGGGCCTTTGTTTGATGACTCAACCAACCTCGGTCCCTTGAGCTCGGCTTTACACCTCGAGAAGGTACTCTCGTACATCCGCCACGGTATTGAAACAGACAATGCTACTTTACTCTACGGCGGTTTGGGCAAGCCAAGTGTTCCGAAGGAGTTGGAATCAGGATTTTGGGTGCGCCCGACGGTCTTCACTAACTGCACAGATGACATGCGCATTGTTCAAGAGGAAATATTCGGCCCTGTGATGTCTATTCTATCCTACGAGACGGTGGAAGAGGCGGTCAGGCGAGCGAATACCACTGAGCTCGGCCTAGCTGCGGGTGTCTTTACCAAGGATCTCAATATGGCCCATCGTGTTATTGACCAGCTACAGGCGGGAATTACCTGGATCAATAGCTGGGGTGAGAGCCCTGCTGAGATGGCTGTTGGTGGCTGGAAGAAGAGCGGGGTCGGAGTTGAGAACGGACGCAAGGGTATTGAGGCATGGGTAAAGAATAAGAGCACCCTCGTTGATATGAATGGAGCGGTAGCCACTGTCTTCGCCAAGCTGTAATTGTGACATCTCAAAATTTGTATATATTGATTCCTAGAATGCACAGTGTATTACGTGCAAGCCATCTATGGGCTGCTAGTAAGTGAATGATTACTCTTCCACTCCAAGTGTCATTATAGCTAGTGTTTGGTCGGTCTAGTGCGCAAACTTCGTATAGTGCTGTTGGGATCAACTATTCGTCGACTCGAGCAAATTGGTCCGTATGGAGAGAAAGTAGTATTGTCCGAGGTCGCGCTCAGCACATCCCCTCGGCTAACAATCGTCAATCTATCACACTCTGTAACCTAAAGCTAGCCTTTTGAGTTTCAGCGCGATTCTTTTGCCGCCCAAGTTCAAATCACAACCGCTTGCAGGTGGCGCTGTTATGTGCTTCTTGTCTAATAAGTTAGAGCACAGTCAATCCCTCTCCCCGGCTAACTAATCTTCCATCTCAGCTCTTCTGCGAAGATGGCGTTTCCGAGGAGTTTCAAACTTGAGAAAATCATGCCAAAGTTAACTGAGTAATCAAGCCAAGCAAACAAGTCAATTCAGTCTTCCGCGGTCAGTTACATTTTCCTCTACCTTCAACGGCTCTTCTGTGAATAAGCCCCGATCCGAATTCTGTTATATCCTTAAGACATGCAATCAGTGTGAAAGAACCCTAGCTCCCATGCGGTCGAAAAACAAATCGCCCTTCAATGCTGAGTCCAGCCCGCCTATCGCCGAGTCAACCATTCGTGAGGACATACTGTCAGGTGTTAATTCATCGTCTTCCATGGAGCGACTTAATTCCGTATTGATTCTCAAATCCTTCGGGACCTTTTGTGGTGTAGTTTGGGGGGTAAGTTCCTGGTGAGTCTTGCCCAGCCCAACCGGGCCGGGAACGTACATCCGAGGGCGATAAGTAAGAGGTGGGCCTTGAGTGCGCGCGTCTGTACCGGCTTGTTCGATAGACTCAAAATAACGCACTGTTTTAACCTTCAGCTCCAGAGTCGCATCCCGATCGCAGACAATGAGTGGGTGTGGGTGCAACTGCAAGGCCGAGAGCGTCCACATGTGATTGACGCCCCCCTCAATGCCTTTCTCCACTGCGAGAGCCTTGTGAGCACCGGTAGCAACTATTACCACCTCCCGTGCCTCCATAATGGTCTGAATGCCAACTGTCAATGCATGCCGGGGTACCTGATCCACATCATTGTCGAAAAATCGCGAATTGGCTAATATCGTGTCATATGCCAAAGTTTTAACCCGCGTACGACTGCTCAATGACGAGCCTGGCTCGTTGAAGGCGATATGTCCATCGGGACCAACACCACCTAGGAAGAGTTCGATGCCGCCGTACCGAGCGATTCTGGCTTCGAAGGAAGCACACTCGACCGCGAGATCCGGAGCGTTACCGTCAAGAATGTTAACATTCTGGGGCGGGATGTCCACGTGGGAGAAAAAATGCTTATACATGAAGCTGTGGTATGATTCTGGATGATCCCGAGGCAATCCGACATACTCGTCCTGCCTCGGTCAACAAAGGCCATGCAACTTCGCGGAAGAGAGGAATATACGTACCATGTTGAAAGTCACGACATTCTTAAAGGATATTTCGCCCTTCCTGTGCCGGTTTACCAGAGTCTTGTAGATGATCTCCGGGCTACTTCCTGTTGGCAAGCCGAGTACAAATGGCTGGCTTTCAGTTGGTCGAAACTTCTGGATGCGGCCTGCCTGGAGATTAGATGAGATCCACGTAAGAGTACGAATCGCAGGCCACGGCCCAACACGATCAACTTTTCAGGCCTCAAACTGGGGCCGGGGGCTCATCTACATACTGATGATATAATCGGCAATGTATTCCGAAGCCTCCAGAGCAGTGTTGCGGATAATAACTCGCCTATTTCGAAGTAGAGTCAGTCTTGATCCACGTTTGGAGGACATGTAGCACCTTACATTGTGGAAAATATTCCGTTATGCGGGGAGACACTTGGCCAATGCCGGGAAAGGAAAATACCAATGGGTATGAGTGAGTCAAGCTTGCCAAATGTGAATCCAGCTAGCAGACAAGTAGAATCTGGTGTATAACACTGGAAGATGTATTGAAACAGAAGAGGATGGGAATGGAGGGCGAAACAGAAGCTGGGGGTAGCGATACTGGGTACAAATGTGTAGAGTTCTAGCTCCTGGCTGGGGAAGAGAATGAAAGGAATTGTAGCACTTTGTAAGTGCTTGAAGGAAGACAGAAGCGTGTCCACTAGCTTTCTGTCAAACCACGGCTCTGTAACAGTTTCAATTTATGGGGAATGAGAGGGGTGCGACAGAATGATGTTACTTCGATCTGGACGTTTTTGTAGGTGACGTCCATCGAAGCAATTCCGGCTCGGCTTTAAGGATGATGCCAGCCTACATATCTACTGATTTATCCTAATTACCATCTACTGTAGGTCCAGCAGTCATATGAAAGCATGTGCGCTAGAGACGTGGAGCTATTCATGACGCAGTGGCCATACCACGGAGAGATTACAGCTGCATGTGCCCCGATTGTCACAGGTGCTATAAAATAAGTATGTGAGGGAACGACGAGCGGTGCATAAGAAAGAAAGCCTTTGTTACAAATAGCATTGTCGGAAACTCTGGGCTGAGCATGATAGATACTGTTACAGACAAAGGTGGCATGGGAGCGAAGTTAGGTCCACCGGTGATCCACAATCGTCATCTATAGATAGTGAACTTTAGTTTGATGACTATGTTGGTTGCATGAAGTTGAAGAGACATGACTTGACCTTTGGATAAAAAGAAAGAAAAGAAAAGAAAATAGAAAAAGTATTAGCTAATCAATCGCCACGCTGTCAAGAGGCTGCGGTTGCATTCGGTCATCCATGATGGCAGCAGGCCAAACCTAAAAATTGAAAGAGATGGAAGTGTTTCATTCCACTGATCCATTCCAGCCATGCAACCCCTCGATGGCGGGAAGGAGGGAGATGAAGGAGCATGCGGGCTTGTTCGGTAACAGACAGTTTCGGTACTGCATCTGAAATGGACTGTAACAATAACAAGACTGTAAAGTACAGAGTATGCACTGTACTGTAGAACACAGTACAGTACAGTGGAATATATGCATCACGGAAGATAATACGGGGATACGTACATTACAGTACAGTAGTAGTTACTCATTACTTCACCCCGAGCTCATCTGATAGTCTGGCATCATGTGATCCTTGCCCGCAAGTGCCAAGCACGGCACTATTTGACTGGGGCTTTTGGTCACCCTACCTAGTACGTTCACTTACCGAATAAGTCACAGAATTACGAAGTTTTTCTCTCTTCTCTTTGCGAATTTTCGGGTCAAAGATCCAGTCATGGTGCCTCTCACTTATCTGATTTTGTGATGTCCCCCAACCAAGTGCTGCTGTTTCGACGCGGAGATCTGACTCTAATATAAACTATAGAGGTCATGTGCTAGGGTGACCAGACCCAGTTGTGGTGCCCTTCCCAGTTCTTAAAGAGTTTAACGCGCCTAACAGGAAGGCGGTGATCACCAGAGCTGGGGCAGGCCTTCCAGTTCCCAATGCAGTAAGGATACTCCACCATCTGGATATGATTGGTTGGGAGCTAGGCTACTCTAATTTGAATGGCGCACGGTTCGACCCTGCCACTCATCACGTGCAAGTTCTGCCGGCAATTGGGGAACTGGGCAACTGGGCATGCCCAGTTCAGCACAAGACCTCTAATGAACGACTGGGTAGATGAAATGCATGTGCGAATCAAATGAATGAATAAATGAATAAATGATTCCCAACCATTGGTCTCTCTAGCTATCAAATACCGGCTGACATCTTTACTGCTTGTTTCCTTGGTACTCACACGTGCACGCTTCATGTTTTTGTCATTCATGATTCCAACCATACTCTACCACTCCTACGGTACCCTTGCGATACACCCCTGGCTTTGTCCAATTAGCGAAGCCAGCCAGCCAGCCAGCCAGCCAGCCAGCCTAGGGCTCTGCCTGGGGAATCCGGAGCTTGTCTAAACTGCCGTTTCTGGCACTATCGCCCCACCCCTTTTCCAAAGCTTCCGTTGACGTCTGCAGCTCATCATTTGCTTCACTGCACACCCATCTTCGCCCCGGCATTATTGGTTTGGAATAGTTCTTCCACACCGGGCCCTCATGGCCCCCAAAGAGATGCTGCCGCCCGGCTGGGAGGATCTAGACAGGTAGGTTTTAACCTTGGTCTTGGCATATCCTGCCCCTCTCTAATGCCCCTCACCATTTTCTCTGATACTGCTGCTGCATTACTTTGACCCTTGGATTTGCCTTCCTGTCTCTCTATGTGTGTTTTCAGACGGGAGAATGCGCCTCCTATAGCAGAGTCACCTCGAGTCATTGAGTAGGTGGGTAAGCAGTTCACTGCTGACAGTTGCGTTAATCATAATGGCGCTTGGACAGGCAGATGGGGCAACTTTTCATGATGGGCTTCGATGGAACATCGGTCAGCCCTCAGATTCGCTCGCTCATCGAGAACTACCACCTCGGTTCGGTTCTGCTCTCTGCAAAAAACCTCAAATGTACTCATACACCCCATTCCCTTCACAAGGTCTTCATTGGGGCCTTCGTTGATGGCTTCTTTCCCTCGGCCGCCCAATTCCGTCTTTAGACATAGGCACTGATATACGTCTAGCTGCAGAAGATGCAACACGGTTGGTCCTTGAGCTGCAGACAATCGCTCGGGATGCTGGCCATCCGGTGCCTTTGCTAATCGCCCTGGACCAGGAAAATGGCGGAGTGAACAGCCTGTACGATGATATCTACATCCGGCAATACCCCAGTGCGATGGGTATCGCTGCGACAGGGTCCAAGAGCCTAGCCCATGAAGTTGCGATGGCGACGGCACAAGAGCTTAAAGCCGTAGGAGTCAACTGGATCTTGGGTCCTGTTCTCGACGTGCTTACCAATGTGCGCAACCAACCCTTAGGCGTCCGCACCACAGGAGACGACCCGCAAGAAGTATCACAATACGGCGTCGAATTCATGAAAGGCTATCAAAAGGCAGGCCTCGTGACATGCGGCAAGCATTTCCCCTCCTATGGTAACTTGGAGTTTCTCGGGTCTCAGACGGATGTACCAATCATTACTGAGTCCCTAGAGCAGCTTAGTCTGACCGCATTGGTACCATTTCGCAATGCAATCCTTCATGGTTTGGACTCGATGATGGTAGGGGGCGTTTCAATGTCATCGGCCGGAGTCAATGTGATGCACGCCTGTCTTAGTGAGCAAGTGGTTGATGATCTGCTTCGGAAAGACCTGCAGTTCAAAGGTGTGGTCGTTTCTGAGTGCCTAGAGATGGAGGCCCTGACCCACAATATCGGCGTCGGTGGAGGGACAGTGATGGCCAAAAATGCCGGGTGCGATATCATCCTTCTTTGTCGCTCATTCCAGGTTCAACAAGAGGCCATCAGTGGCTTGAAGCTAGGTGTGGAGAATGGTATAATCGGGCGCGGACGCATCGAGCAGTCGCTTCGCAGAGTGTTAAGCTTGAAAGCCAAATGCACATCTTGGGAGCAAGCCCTCAGCCCGCCTGGTCTTACTTTACTCACCCAAATGCAACCGTCCCACACGAGTCTCTCCACACGAGCATACAACAGTTCGATCTCAGTTGTCCGAGACAAGCAGAACTTACTACCCTTGACCAATATTCTCGAGCAAAACGAGGAGCTGCTCCTCTTGACACCATTGGTAAAGCCGCTACCCGCTTCGGCTGTATCGCGCTCCGTGAACGAGCATTTGAACGTATCTCTTGACCCGATCGCGTGGGATCGAACAGCATCTGTTTTAAGTGGCGAAAGTGTCTTCAAAGAGCTTGGGAGGTCCCTTTCCCGACATCGCAGTGGTCGTGTTTTGCATACATCCTATACGGCCAACGGTGTACGTCCGATTCACGAGGACCTCATTGATCGGGCTAGCGCGGTCATCGTCGTCACCGCCGACGCCAACCGGAACTTGTATCAACATGGGTTTACAAGGCACGTGTCTATGATCTGTAGATCTAAATACGCTCCATCAGGCGAACCTCGCGAGAAACCATTAATCGTGGTCGCAGCAAGCTCGCCCTATGACTTTGCAATGGACTTGTCCATTGGAACGTATCTTTGCACTTACGACTTCACTGAAGCGGCCTTGGAGGCCTTGGTCAAAGTACTTTACGGAGAGTTGACCGCCGTGGGGTCACTCCCGGGTTCTATAAGTCGCAGTCAAAAGCTTCACCAGGCGAGGCAACACTGGCTGGTAGAGAGCTGGAATGAGGATAGGGATGCGCATGCCTTAGACTCCCTACTGAATGCTGTCCGAGAGGATTGTGTGCAAGGACAACGTCCGGAGTTGCTAGGTGTAACATCTACCAGCTTTCTGCTCCGCAAAGAAGAGATAGACGAGGCACACTTTGTGGTTCGCAACAGCAGTACCCAGGCTTTATACGGATTCTGCTCCACGTATTACTTTCGATCCACGGGCACTGGCGTCATTGGGTCCTTGATCGTCCATCCCGCAAGACGGAAGCTATCTATAGGGAATTCTCTCCACAATCGTGCCATCCGAACTCTTCTGCACAGGAAGGGCATGAAACGGTTTCAGCTGGGCTCTCGCCTTCCGGGGATTTATCTGGGTATCCCATCAGCAAACCTGGTGGACCGCAAGAGGCTGCGCCAATGGTTTGCGAACTTGGGCTGGAATACGGCCCTTTCACGGCCTGTCTGTAGCGCGGTCCTGCGCAATTTGTCTTCTTGGACGCCAACGGACAGCTTGGTTCACGGCATTCAGCATGCGGATGTGGCCTATGATCTTGTTTATGGCTGGGACTATGCAGATTCGATTCTGGACCACATTAAAACGAACTCCAGGCAAGGGGTCCTAGATATCTACAAAGTGGCTTTGAGAGGATCCCCGCACTGTGGGATCATCCGGGCGACCCGCCCCGGTAATGGTGCTATTTTGGGCAGCGTAGTCGTCTACAATGGACGAGCAGCTTTAGCGGAGCACATGCCGGTTCTGAGATCGCTTCAAATTGCCGCCGGAGGTATCTCGTCTCCCGTCATATCTCCATCGGTCGGCGAGTACGCTACAGTCATGCAGGGCCTGATCTTACTAGGTATCAAGCAAATCCGCAAACAAGGTGCCGAAGCCGTGATAATGGACTGCGTGAGTCATTCTTTCCAAATGTGAAGCGGTCTGCAAAAGGGCGTTATTGACGATGTTCGCTACAGGTTGATGGTGACAGCAATCTTGACTGCCTTTCCGGCATGGGCTTCAGTGCCCTGCATAGCTTTGAAGAAATCAATTGCGATGCCGCGACATGGACCATGGCACCTTCCTCGTAGATAGTGCTTTCTGAGCAGCTTCAGCTTTAAATTCTGTGTGATAGTTCCCGAGGTCTGTATATAGTCTTCTCACCTTTGCATGATGGTCCACCTGCTGTAAATATCAGTCAATACATCGGACAAAGCAATTTTGAGTCGATTCGGGGGCCATAACCAGCTTCTAGAAGCTGGTTGTGTTTCTTTCTTTTTCTTTTTTTTTACCTTCTTTCTCTGTTTTCTTTTTGGGGGGAGAGGGAGGGGTTGATGTCATCATAGAGACAGAAGAGACGTGCAGCCGGCGATGCAAGCGTTCCGATCCAACGGGGGCATATCTGCATTCGACTAAGAGTCTGATAAACTGTTTTCGGATGCTGCCGCTCCAACATGTTGACTGGATTAGCGGCCTAGTCGCACAATGTTCGGCCAGTCATCTTTTGCGGACAGCATTATCTGTGAGACATGCAGCTAGCTCTAGGCCTGCTTTAGTCTTTGGAGCTGATGCTAAACTGGTAGGGCCAGTCTCTAAGTCTTCAATTAAGTTACTCGTATATTTTAAACACCCGAGTACAGTGATGGGTATATTCGCACAATATCTCCATGAGTACTTCAGTGATTTAAGATAAATCCAGACTCTTCCTGCACTGGCCACAACAAAGGACATGGTTGATTGAGCTTGGAGTGGTGGGTGGAGTTCCGGAAACAGCAAAGGACATCAAATCTGACCATGGATCACAGCCATTTCACAGGAGACTGGAACTGGAGAGTTGAGCACTGGAAGCAAGCTCTCACCAGTTGGCGGGCAGTTCCGGTTAGTTCGGCTCCACTAGGCAAGCTGAGCAACTGTAAACTTTATTTAAAAAAGGGATCCCCACTACTCGGGTACTGTACACTCTCAGCACCATCACCGTCTCCGGCCACCTAGACTACCTGCATTCGCATCCTTCTTCCTCAAGCTTGTTCCTTCTTCTTTCACCACTAACCGTTCTGCATTGTAGGTGCATGTACATGTACATGCGTATCTCTAAATTACCGCCCCTACTCAGGCACAACCGCGAAAAAATGAGGCTGAGGCGCTAAGAGAGGCTTACACAATGATAACTATAGTACTACTTAAAGTCCGTACTCAAGAATCTGTCCAACTCCTTGATTTGTCCATCCGTCTTCAGTATCTTTTCTTTCTTTTCAGTTTTCAGTTTTCAGTTTGTTATGTTGGATGAGTGCGTGGGTCACTACGGAGTACTGTACTTAGTATGTACTCATTCATATTGACTTACTCGTGCCCCGGGGCAGAGCGAGGGTCTGTCTATCTGAATATGGATTAGTCTTGTTTGTCTGTCCCACCCACCCACCTGCAGTCTACTGAGTACTGAGTACTGACTGACTGGAAGTTAACTAGAGCCAGTCTATCTACGAGGCAACGAGTGGTATGTTAATATAGTATCTATAGTAGCTATAGATAGTATCTACATACGACTGTACTTGTCAACTCAATTGAGTTGTGGAGTAATTAAGTTGGATTCATAACTAACTCCGTACTGTACTCTGTAAACCAAACTCTCTCCCTCTTTCCTCTTCGCTCCCCCCATAGCTCGATCCAGTCTCCGTGCGCCCCCTTCCCCTTCCCCCTTCCCCCCTCCCCCCTCCCCCGTCTCCGGTCCCGATGGCCCTTTTGATTTGCTTGGCTTCCTGGCTTCGGGGAAATCTGATCCACCCTGCTCTCGGAATCTGGAGTCTCTTGCTTGCTCGTGCTTGTCTCGTTCTTCTGGTCTCTTTCTCCCAGCTTGATACCTCCCTAATTTACTATTACAACAACAACCTCTACTACTACTACTACTACTACTACACTAAGTTAGTATAGTGCACTACCTATTCACCTCACCTATCCCTTCTGCAAAGCTGAGCTTCTAGCATATACACATAGTTTCTGCTGGTCTCTGTCTTGGTTGGGTTTGATGTCGATAGGTTAACAATTTTCTTTTCCATTTCCATTCCGTTGTATGTACTCTGTTTTGTCCGGTTTGCTTGTCTCCTCCGCCTGCTGCTGATTTCCACTGCATCCCCTCCTCCCCCCCCCTCCCTTCCTTCCTTCCTCCTTTCCTCCGTCTCTCCGCACGCGCGCGTGTGTGCCGCGCCCTAACGTTACTAGGTACTAGGTATTCATCCCCCTCATATCTATTCACAACAATCCGAAAGGGAACGATTGCGGAACCATCACTGCAACCGGCTTTCTAAACCATTGTTCACCCCCCCCCCCCACCAATTTACCTTACTCCACCAATTCAGCGTATCCTCCACCCATTTGCTTCTTTGGCTTCACACTCATCTACTTATTCATTCATCCATTCATCTATTCATCCATCCATCCATTGATTCACATCAACCCAATCGGTCTGACCTTCCCTCACGAACCCCGTCTTTGGCTTCCTTCTGCGGCCGCGCTTGTAGCGCAACACCCCTCCCGCCGGAATCGATCTGGCTTTCCACCTGCTTACCTGCCACACCCTTCTTCACCCTTCATCCTTCATCCTTCACCCTTCACCCTTCGCCCTCCGTCCTTCAACTTCATTCAACTTTCTGCCCTCTCACATCCTCTTCTCTTCTGCCGCCTCACTCTCCCTCACCCTCTCCTCCCTGGGTCGCCCTCATTGACACTTTGCTTCCAGTCCTTGGCGGTTGGTCACTCTTCTGCGTTTGGTCTTTTGAGAGGTTCGAGCCCCGAAGGGCCAATCCTTCAATATGGAGGGCTTTGACACTATGTCTATGCCCTATTTGGCCAGCCCGCTTTCCTTGAGCAATCTCCAGGGTTCTGACTACCTCCATTCCTTGCCTGGTATGGACATGCCTGACCAGCGATCAACTTTCGAGTCGGAGCCCTTCGTTAGGTAAGTGTCATAAAGGGCTCTTGAGAGTGGTAATTCCTGCCCGATCTGCGATCTTGCCGTGGCTAATCATTGTTCCGGGCTAGCGGCGACGACATTACCTTTACTCAACATGGTGTACCCCCCACAAGCTTGAAACGCTTTGCGTCAGACTACCAGGACCCCTTCACAGATATAGTGCCAGCCTTTGACCCTGCTCCTCCAGAGCAACCTCCAGACTCTTCAATCGACCACAACAACAAGCTCTTAAGCTTTTCACTTCCGGCCTACAGTTTTACATTGCTTGACTACTCACTGCGGCGCACCTCGGTTTCTCTTGCAGCCCAACTGCATGGCATGTTCTTCCTAGCCGAGTCGCCCTGGACTACCTCGCCCACAGAGAATGCTTTACCCCAGCAAGGCGCGGAGCTGACCTGCTACCGGCGAAATCTTTTTCAAATCACCGGCTCGGTGACCTTGCCACGAAGCTTGAGATATATTATGACGGAGCAAGGCGACCGCATACCTATCCTTGCCCAAGAATTGACTGTTTCAGCTACTGAGTCGGTCGAAGGTAACTCGGTCAAGATCATCTCGGTACCATGGAAGACACCAGCCGCAAATCAGAATCAATCAACAGATGAGAGCAGCGTCACAGCAAATGGCATGAGTGCCAACCCAAGCACCGCTAATCCCAAAGTCGAAAAAGAGCCGCCACCGATCCCGTTGGACATTATGGCTGGTCAGGATCTTGATACCGACTATGCGACTTTTCCGATTGCATGGAAGCGATTACAATTTCGCGTCGCAACTGCCAATAATGGTCGAAGAAAAGAGCTCCAACAACACTTTGTCGTTCGATTGAAAGTCATTGCTACCTTGTCTACTGGAGCCAGAATTCCCATTTGCGAAGTACATTCAGGTCCTGTCATTGTTCGGGGTCGTAGCCCACGCAATTTCCAATCCCGCAAGGACTTGCCTCTGAGCGGCAGCGCTGCTGCTTCACGAAAGAATAACCAATCCACTGCGGTGAACCGAACACCGACCAGTGAATCTGCCCCGTCTTCTAATCTAACACCAGCTAAAGCCAAGGCGACGGTGAAAAGTAGCTCACCCGAGACCGCAGTCTCTCAAGGCAGTATAGCTCCTCCTCCTCCTCCTCCTCCTCCTCCTCCTCCTCCTCCACCGGCTACCGCCGACTGGACACAGATCTCGCCTGCCGTGGGAGGAACAACAGCTTCCGCACCATTGCCTCATTCGTCTGTATATGCTCAATCGAGTCCCGATTTCCCGCGGCCTACGGATACACAGCAGCTTCACAATAGCATTCCGGCGCCCATCAACTTGTCCCTTTTCGACGAGGACGAGACTGGAGAAAGCGTCAACATTCATGATTCGGCCAGAGCAGCTGCAGCGTACAGCAATGACGTATCGCATAGGAATTCCAATATAGACGGCACTGCACCCCCAGCAAAAATGCGGAAACTCTCACATGACCCGCCCCAAGCGCCATCTCGATCTGCCTCTTCGTCGCTGCCCCTACTAGGTAGTACGAACATGCAGCAATCATTCGCATCTACGCTTCCCTTCCCCAATGAAAGTGCTGATTTGTTGTACGAGTACTTTCCATTGGGGCTGGATGATTGGCAGGCGCCTGTTGATGCTGTTTACCGACCGCATGTAGTGCATCACACCAATCTGCCGGAGGTCAAATTTGTGGCCGCGCGAGGAAGAAGCAAGCGATATTTTGCTGCAGAAGACGTCTTCTAGATGGATCTAGTCCATGAGCGATAGCACTGCACCTGAAAATATAGACTGGGAGCAAAAGTTCCCCCTTCCAAAGCAGCAGAGAATGGGTTGAGATATGCCCCCTCACTTGTATGGAAACCTTATTCACCATCGTGCTTCATCGTCTTGGGATGTTGTGTTAGATTTTCCAATCTTCCCTACTTTATCAGGCTTGTCGCCGACAATATGCAACCTGTTTGGATGACTTCTCTTGGAACATGACTGACACATAGATTTCTCAGGAACTTATATAGGGGTGTACGGTTATGGAAATTAACTCTCAGATCAAACGGGGACGGACTGGGGCATGCTGGAGTTTCTGCTTGTTCGATGTTTCATCATGGCGTTTAGGGGTTCTTGATTGGCCCGGTGTTCTTGTTGACTACGAGTTCTTTTTCGTTTCCTTTTTTGGCTTTTCATTTTTTTCTTTCTTGCCTATCCATCTTGCAGATGCTCGGGTGCCAGGCTTATTACCTGCCTGCTTACCGCACTTTTG